ATCTGTGCTGCGCACTTGGGCAGGTGGTGGTGGGGATAGAAATTTAGATGGGCAACGAGACCAGTAATGCGTTTTAGCTGATAGACGCGTTTTGGAAGCCTGATTTTGATATTGTATTTTATATCACAAATCACACATCTCATGTTTTGCAATATTTTCTTTACGCTTTACTAACTGAACTTTTCAGAAGTCTTTCTGTTGTGGAAATAGCCGAAGAAGATGAGAACGAAAAGGAGGAAAAGCCAATGGCTGCAAAAGAAACTCAGGAAACAGCACGAGAAAAGAGGAAACAGGAACTTGCCCTGAGGCAGATGAATTTACTGCAGCAGGAGGTCAAAAAAAATAAAAGAAATTTTAATATTGAAAGAAGAAAAAGCAAATAGTATGAAGAAATTAATAAAACTTGCAAAATATTATTGGTAAGAAATGTTTCAGTCCATTAAGTCGTATACATTTCTTACCATTATCACAGTTGGATCTCGTCTGTATGACGATTATGGTAATTAGTACGAACTTAAGTTTAATTTAAATAGTTATGTTATTGCAATAAGTAAAGGCAAATGTAAAGTTACGTTGTATAAGTATGAAGTTAGTTTGATGTAAAATCTTACCGCAGAAGGGGTTGTTGGTCCCATATTCAATCCAAAAAATTTTCAGTTTCGAGTTACTTATAAGAGGTTATTTATTAATATTATTAGTATTAAATGTAAATATTTTATAAACTACGGGCCGATGTTTTAGAAATTATGGTTCGGCCTATCAACAGCCGCAAAAACCTTTTCACCCACTTCGGTGAGCTTGGACTGACGATTTTTGGTTCATCCTCCTTCTAATGGCCGTTACTTATCATTCACTGAATTTAGGCAAAAAAAAAATTTTTTTTAATACGAACAAAAACAGAAGGCGACACGATTTTGGTCAGATTGGTATTGTTTTAATTATAGGTTATCTATTTTTTAAAAAAAAAGTATACGACTTAATGGACCGAAACATTTCTTACAATTATACTAATTTTATCCAAATAATTTTACTGTTTTTGCTAATTCCTCAATATTATTTTCTGTTTTTTATTCTTGTCCTTCAAATTATGTTTCTATTAAATCAAAAGGAAGGGGAATGGGGGAGAGGAAGTGGGGAGGGGGGAAGGGGCAGAGAAAAGGAAGGGGGAAAATGGCCAAAAAAAGCTCTGATCATTCAGTTTTGTCGAGAAATCAACAGTCGGGGGGAAAGGGAAAGGGGAAAATGGCCCAAAAAAAGCTCTAATTATTCAGTTTTAGCCTAAAAATCAAAAACCAGTAGTCAGAATAATGCGTGTGTATTTTTCAGGATTGCGTAAATTTGAAAACGCGCATGTACGGGCACGAATACCTGTTTCTGATGCGTGATATTGTAAAGGAAATGTTATTAGATAATGCGATACCTGTGAAAAATGCAGAATTAAAAGAACTAGGTATCGATATTGCGTCAGCCCCCGCAAGTAGCGTTGTCGGCGATCGACAGGTTTGTTTTTTTGGTATATTTTTTATGCGATTATTTTCATCTTTTTGCTTTCAGAACAGCTTTTAGGGGGAGGGGGGAGGGGCGTTCGGAATTTTTCAAGCTTAATAGAAGAGGGAAAGAGTTGAATTATTACTTGTATTTAATTTTTTTTAACTTTTTTTTGATTTTTTAAAATTTTTTTTTTTTGAAAGCAGGCGTTCTGAAGAATCGGGCTTCTTTCTCTTTTAGATGGGAAGGTGAGAGAGATAGAAAGGGATTTAGTCAAAATCGCTCTGACGAAGG